GGCGAGTGCTGGCTCCAGGAAGGTGGAGCCCGTGCCCTTCTCAGAAGATGAGCTGGCCCTTGGACTTCCAGGGGGCTCACAGCAGACCTCACGCCCAAGATTCGAGGTGGGACCGGGGAGCCGGGCTACGAACCACCCACGTGCACAGACACCTGCTCGCGGCCGACGTGGGGTTCCCCAGGGCGGCCATCCCGCACCCCGCTGCACACCGAGGGAGGGAGGGGTGCATCGCGGTGGGGGCAGGGCGGGGAAGGTCGCGGGGTGTGGACAGGCGCCAGGGCTCCGTGCCCGGTGCTGCCACCATCTGCCGTCTGCCGGGAGCGCGTCACAGATGACGATGCTTTGTTTGCCGAGCGAGGCCTCGAATGTCGGCCCAACTTCCCAAACCCGTGTGTTTTCCACTTCTCTCCAGGATGGTTTTTAAACTAGTTCCCTGGACACAGTGCCTTGACTTTGAGCACCTTTTTGAAACGACTGCTTTCATAGTTCGCACAAACCGCCGAGCAAAGGGACGGCAGGGGACGGCCCCTGGCAGCTGACCTCCCTGTGCACGACGCCTCTGGCTGAGGCCCCCTCCCCGATGGACAGTCACGGTGCTGGCCGTCCCGCCCGGGTGCGCGTGGCTTCCTGGGGATCTGGAGGCTTCCCGGGGGGGCCCGGGAGGGACACGGGTCTCGCGGGGCCTCTCACCTGTGTCCTGCAGAGGCTTGAAGCACCAAGGCACCTCGGGGATGCTGGAGTCAAAGCAGCAGCCCCTGTTGACACACTGCTCGGGGCTGATATCGGGGTAGCCACAGTCCACCCTGTTCTTGGCCGGCACGGCACACAGGTTCTCCGCTGTCCCAAACAAAGCCCAGTCAGCGGCCGGAGCCCTTGCCGGCCCGGGGTGTTGGCTGCTGCCTTCATTTGGCAAGTTTGCAACCGCCCCCAGCCTCTGGGTTCGAAGCACGTGACCCCACCCGCACCCCAGCATCGGCTCGAGGAGCACCCTCCTCCCACGCACACTTCTGTATGCTCTGTGGGGACTCTGGCCTCTGCCAGGGCGCCCCCCTCTCTCGTGTGCCCCTGGAGCCTTGTCGGGAAGTCCATGGCCCCGGGTCCCTCCGGCTGGCAGGAGCCCGTGGGAATCTGGGGGCTCCTGAACCCCGAAACAAATTCCCCTTCACTGTGTTATCAACACAAACTGCCCCCTTAAAAAAAAGGAATAGTGTAAGAGGAGATGCACGTTCAGTACAGAAAACCACAGCGCGTGCTATTTTCCATTTCTTTCCTGTGTCCCCCTGTCCCCCAGGCACTTGGCTGGTCACGACGTCCTCCTGGGACATCCTCCTGTCCTCAATACTCGTTGAAGCAAGCCTATAGTGTCTAAAGTTCTGCAAAATCTGGGACGCCTGGGTGGCTCGGTTGGTTAAGCGTCCGACTTCAGCTCAGGTGACAATCTCGTAGTTCACAGGTTCGAGCCCCGTGTCGGGCTCTGTGCCGACAGCTCAGAGCCTGGAGCTGCTACGGATTCTGTGCCTCCCTCGCTCTCTGCCCCTCCCCCCACTTGTACACTCTCTCTCCTTCAAAAATACATAAACATTAAAAAAAAATTCAAGTTCCGCCAAGTCGGCCTCATTGCCTCATGGGATTTTCCTTAGGAAAACAGAACCACGTGAAGTGTCTAAAATCCCACTCTATTGTGCCAGGCGGTAATGCCTCAACCCGCTGGTTTCCCCAGCCAGATTTGCTCACACTGGGATCCCAGAGGCACTGTGGCATGAAGGGCACCTCCTGGGCTGTAGGGGTCGCAAAGCTGTCCTGGTGACTCTGACAGGCACCACGTTTGGGACCACTGCCTTTGACCCCTGATAATAGCCACGCCCTAATTTCTTCAAAGCTGGGTGGGTGGGACAGCCGCCCTCCCCCCACCTGCAGGGACAACGCCACGGCCAGGTGAAAACCGTGTGCTGAAAATGCTCTTCAGGAATCCGTGTTTGTCAGTCTTTCCTTTCTGCCTTGCAAGTGCGCCAGAACGGTGCGTGAAGACCTACAGTGTCGCTCAGAAACCTGCAGCCAAGAAGGCGGTGGGGTGGCCGGCCGGCCAGGCAGACCTGGGTTCTAATCCCGGTTTCAACACTGGTGGGGAGGGGGTGCCTGCAGCCAGTTACTAACTTTCTGAGCCTCAGCTACCTCGTCTGTAAACAGCAAGACCCAGTTTGTAGGGCTATTGGGAAGGAACATGTGTGTCTACTAAATGGCAATTATAAATCAATGTGGGGGCTTGATCACTTTCCTCTAGCCCCCAGAAAGCCCCCCCACACACACCCCCCGAGCCTGGACCTAGCGTCCCTTCTCCTCCTCCTATGTCCCCCCCACCCCCGCCGCCTCCTGGCCCCTCCTTCCTACAGAGCGAAGTCAGAACGGTACTCACACAGGCCCACATACTCGTCAGCCAAGCTGGAGGACCCCAAGGCCAGGACCAATGCCAGCAGCCAGAGCACTCTGGCCTCCATGGTCACGGGCGGGCTCTGGGCACCCGACCGCTCAGAGGACGTGCTGCGTCGGCCGAGCAGACTCATTTATACCCCTGTGTTTGTACAAGGGCTCTGCCTTCTGTTTGTTTGGGGACGGCCCTTCCCTCTGGCTCCGGCTGCTGCCTGCACGGGACTGTGAAGTCCCCCAGCGGCCCGTCTTCCTGCGGGGGAGACAGCAAGTCCACCCCACCACTGTGGCAGCAAGCAAGCCTGGAGGTCAGGCTCCAGTCTCCGGGTTACAGTCCTCTACCGGGAGCCGGGATGAGCCGGGATTAGCCCGGCCTGGAGGCCAGGGTGAAGGCTCGGCACCTCCGTGGCCACAGCGCCCAGGCCACATTTAATCCCAGACCCTCAGGTGCTTGAAAAGTCAGCGAGTCAGCACTGTGCGCACGGGTCTCGTCTCTCCTTCGAAACTCTTGAAATTCCTACCCTTTCTTTTTGTATTGTTTCCAGTAAGACTTATTTCTACCATTAACTACACTTTAATAAATGTGTTAAATAAACGAATTCGCTATAGTGATAACATTTAATGTAATCAACTGTAATCTTTTGATAAAAACAGAATGAGCGCAGTAAGTTTGAAAAATCAGACCGTGCAGGGGCACCTGGTGGTTCAGTCGGTTAAGCGTCAGACTCTTTGATCTGGGCTCAGGTCTCGATCTCACGGTTCGTAAGGTCGAGCCCGGTGGCGGGTTCTGTGCTGATAGCACAGAGCCTGCTCGGGATTCTCTCCCTCCCCCCCTTCTCTGTGCCCCTCCCCTGCTCTCTCTCTGTCTCTAAAGAAATAAACTAAAAATAAATAAATAAAAATCACACGATACAAAAAAGCCCTCTCCTGTCTAGAGGTATCGGTTTCACACTTTCTTAGGTATTTTTCCAGAAATGCTCTCTCTAGATCTAAGCACATTTTTAAGCCAAATGAGAACTTACTGGATACCTTTGCTCAGCTTGCTTTTTTTATTTTTTAAATAAAGGAGATTATTTTATTTTATTTTATTTTATTTTTTTAAATTTTTTTTTTCAACGTTTATTTATTTTTGGGACAGAGAGAGACAGAGCATGAACGGGGGAGGGGCAGAGAGAGAGGGAGACACAGAATCGGAAACAGGCTCCAGGCTCTGAGCCATCAGCCCAGAGCCCGACGCGGGGCTCGAACTCCCGGACCGCGAGATCGTGACCTGGCTGAAGTCGGACACTCAACCGACTGCGCCACCCAGGCGCCCCAAAGGAGATTATTTTATAATAGCCGATCAAAACAAGGTGGGGAAAAAATATACCCATTTTCTGGAGGAATGAACTATGGCTCACAATGTAAGGTGCCTGTCAGGGGTTACTCTCGTAGACCTGGGATTCAGGGAGCTGTCTTGGACCCGGCGCAGGTGCACCTGGCTGGTCGCCTCAGCCCCCGAGGTAGGGGGTGGGGTCGGAGGGAGACCTGGGCCACCCCTGAGTTTGTGCACAGAGCTGTTCTCCACCCGGTGACTGACGGGGCCTGACCGTGCACACGCTGGCACAGGCCTGGGGTCCACCTTGTGCAGCAAGCCCATGAGAAACGGACCCGAGGCGAGGCTCACCGTCTGGTTTCCCGTTCCTTCCAAGACAAGGGCAGGCTGAAGACAGAGCAAAGTCTGTGTTGTTTTCAGAGCTTGCTTTGTTCCCAGAAGGCGAGCGTGCACCCAAGCTAACAGATGGCATGGTCTTTGTTATTAAATATCATCATATGGGGCGCCCGCCCGGGTGGCTCAGTCGGTTAAGCACGACTTCGGCTCAGGCCATGATCTCACAGTTCATGGGTTCAAACCCAATGTTGGGCTCTGTGCTGACCGCTCAGAGCCTGGAGCCTGCTTGGGATTCCGTCTCCGTTTCTGCCCCTCCCCTGCTTGCACTCTGTCTCTCTCTCTCTCTCTCTCTCTCTCTCTCTCTCTCTCAAAATAATAAATAAATATTTACAATAATGGTCATCATAGAGAAAATCCCTGGGAGCCTTTTCTGGCCAGACCGCTGCCTTCCTGCCCCCACGGTACCCCCAGGCCCGGCATCATCGTGGAGCTGAGCCAGGTTCCAGGAAGATGCAAACACCCCAGAAACGGGCTTAGAGGGAACACCTATTTGAACTGTCAGAGCGCCTTGGCCTCCACCCGACTGCACTTAGAATCACTGGGGGAGCTGGAGCCATGTCGGAGCTGGTCCCCTGCCTCCCCCCAGCTCGGGAAGACCCCTCAGATTGCAGCCAGTGCCCAGAACCACCACCACCGCCAAAAAACAGCTGGTGTTTTGCTTTCAGTCTAACTCAGTTCACGTGGACAGAGCCTGGGGCTTGGGATGAGTGACAAATCCCTGTCCTTGAAGAGTCCTCCGTGGGGAGATCAGGCCATGTGGTAGTTATGATGGGAGGGTGAGACATTTGGTCCTGAGTCACTTTACCACTTGTGCCTCGGTTTCCCAGCCTGTCCCGTAGCACCTCATCCACAGGGCTGCACACTTAGGTAATGCAGAGCTAAGCCAGGCACCTGGGGACACATGGCGATCAGCAGGTGTGGCACGGCAGGTGCAGAGGCCGGGGGTCTGGGCTCGTGGACCCCAGATGTGATACAAGGGCAGCTGTGGTCTGGCCGGGGCGGGGCGGGGGGGGCGTGCAGCAGGAGCACAGCTGGGTGAGAGGACAGTGAGCTTGAACTGGCACAGGGGCACTGGAGCGTCGGGTAAATGTTTGTGGGGAGGGAATTCCTGTGTGTTCCTTTCCTCGGTGCTAGGGAACCCTCGACCCAGGGGCAGAGGATGGGATCCAAAGAGCCCGCCCTGCCTTCCAGAGCTCGTGGGCTCACTGTCTTACCCCAGCCTCCCTGTTTGGGGCGGGGGGAGGGGGGTGGTTCAACTTCTAGGAGTGAACGAAAACCAGGGCCAGAGCTGGTCGCCAGCCACACCCTGACAGGTGGCTGCCGCGGGAGTCCCTGAACCCAGGGTGAGCACATCCTGGCACCTGCTGGGATCTCTCTCCTTCCTCCTGCTCTGAAGCCTTATCTCTGCCTGCACTGTCCTGGGATCCCTCCCCTACCTGCCCTGGGCCCTGTGTGCTGGTGTCCCAGGGAAGGTGAGGGTCTCCTGGACGGGTCCAGAAGCAGGCCGTCTGGCCCTGAGCACTGGGTCTGCAACCTTCCCACCTGCGGAGTGCATGGCCACTGGCATGTATATGTCACGGGCGTGGACTGACCGTGGATCAAGGGCAAGGTGCGTGGCCTGCTAACGTTGGAGCCTCTGGACCCCGGGCAGCACCCCTGGCCTCAGAGCCCACAGCCCACAGTCCATGGGGGAGAGTAAGCCTTGACACGTGCATTGCGATACACTGCGGAAGCTTCTCCCTGGGAGAGCGATCTGAACTGGGTTTTGAGAGTGAATAGGAGCCTCCAGATGTGTGAGGGTCACAGGGCGCTCCAGACAGGCACTGCTAACCCACACAAACACAGAGTCAACGTGGCCTCCCAGGCTTATATGCTCCGGGCTACCTCTCAGCTCACTAGCACCGTCCCTCCTGGTTCCTCCAGCCAGCAGAGAGCCAGATGGAGGGGTGGACTCGCAGTCCTGTTAATCGGGGCGCTTGGGTTCGCCCCTGGGATCACACACCTCCCTGGGGAGAGTCCTATCCACCGGCTGTCATACCGTTCCACAGCTGCCTTGGGTGTGGGCACCTCCCTCTGTGTCCTGCACAGAGTTTCCTCCTGCTTCCTGGAGAGAGACTTCCAGACCCTTCCTGGAGGCTCCCGTCTTTGGCGTGGTTTACTCGGAGGACAAATCGGGGGAGTGGAGCTGTGCAGATGAGTCTCCCCACAACTCTGGAGGGGGAGGGGGAGAGGACAGAGGGTCCTGGTGAGTCAGAACAGAAGCCAGGAGCCCTAGGATGCCCCTCAAAGACCTAGGGTCTCCTGCTCCCAACACTGGGTCACTGTCTGTCCTGCTACAAACAGGCGCATGGGACAAACCCGGGGTGTTTTGGAGAAACCTATGTTTAGCCCAAAGTCTACAGCTGGCGGTTTCGGCCACAGCACCCCTCACCCCGGAGCGCCTCTGGGTTTGAGCTATTGCATCAACCCCAGGTGCTGTTACGACAAGGAAGCTTCCCAGCCATGAGTTAGCCGGTGACCAGGACACCCAAAGGAACAGAGATAAGTCAGGAATAAACAGAACTAAGAGCCGGGAGGCAGATGTGCCTGGGGCTCCTGGCCCCTCCTTGACAGCCCCTCCTTTCAGACCCGGAAGGGCCTCTCTTGAGCCGCTGGATGGGCTCCAACAGGAAACCAAGGCTCTGGCAGCGCACGGACACCGGGACGCGGATGTGCCCCCGGCTGGCACCTGGTGCGAGCCAGCCCTCAGCGCTGCTCTGAGCCGCGTCCCAGGAGGACAGCCGGGGAAGGGCGGAAGATGGTCCCCTGCCAGCCGGGCCGGACAAGCCCCTGTGCTCTCGGGCTTCAGATTTGCCTGTGAATCAGATCGTTGTCACTAAGTGACTTCCAAGAGTGCCAGGATGGATAGCATCCTCCCCGGATTCATACCCTTCCTGGAAGCTCAGAGCGTGGCCGTATTTGGAATTGGGTTATTGCGAGTGTAATGATTTAAGTTGAGACGAGGTCAGACGGGAGCAGGGTGACCCTTCATCCACTATGACTGGTGTCCCTGTAAGAAGAGAAACACAGACACGCAGGGAGACAGCAGGTGACCACGGAGGCGGGGCTGAGGTGATGCAGCTAAGAACAAGAATGCCAAGGGCAGCGTGCAGCCACCAGGGCTGGAGGAGGCAGGAAGGACCCTCCCCCGGTGCCTCGGGAGGGAGCACGGCTTGTCTGGATTGCAGACTTCCCGCTGTGGCCAGAACCACCTAGTGTGATGGCCTCTGCTATGGCAGCCCCAGGGCTCGGCGCATCTGGCTCTGAGATCTACCTTCACTGGAAATTTTCTCACAAGGGGGGAGGGAAGAACACAGTTAAAAGACCCAGGCCCGGGTC